AATAAAGGATGAAATCATTTAAAATTTACAAATAATTTTATCTCCGAACTCAACATGTTAAGTGATATGATAAAAATACATTTTAACTCTATTTTAGAGATTCTCTAATCGACAATCATCATTATAAGTAACGAGATGATATAGTGTCTCGCCCAAATCGCTAGAAGTGTCATATATATTACTAGTATATAAAAGATCTCAAATAAGTGTATCCACTAAAGCTTTACCCGAAAGTAATAAGTAATAGTCTAAAAGGTAAGATCTTTTACCCATGTTGATTAAATGGTTTATGAGGAATATGAGTTACCTGAATTCATCCTCATATCGGTGCTCAATACTAGTCTCAATAAATATATGCTCATGGTCAAATATAAAAAATATACTCTTGCTATCTTTGATGTAATTACTCAAAGTATCATCTTAAAAGAGTTTTTTCTTTGAAGCACTAAAGTAATTAACTCTTGTAGATATAAAAGTTTCTCTAATCTTAAAAAAAAGTGATACCTTTGGGAATAATCAGTTTTCTTGTAACAACCCTAAAAATGAATATGCTAAGTAATGCTTAATGTGTCTAGAATGCCTACGATTAGACCGGGTTCACACGGATTGATGTGCGAAGAACCAAAACTCTGAACCCTTGCTACAACCAAGCCAACTTTGGGGAGTTAGTGGAGATATAAAAGGTTGGGTCCAACCATGTAGGGCTCTCAAATACGAAGATTTACTTGACGGAGTCTTTACAACACTTAAAAAGGGAAAATCTTAGTTTTGAAGGGTCTAGGGGATAAAATGGTATTTTTCCAGGCTAAGCTTAGTATCATAATTATATAAATAAATAATTAATTATTTAATTAATAAGGTGGAGTGACATTTTAGGGAGAGAGGGCCAAAAATTGGCTTTTGAAGTGAAGTCTTGCTCCACCCGGGTTCGAACCTAGGTGGAAGCAATGAATTAAATTATTTTTAGTTTAAGTTGATAAATTAATGTAATTAATTTATATTTATTATCTTTTAGCTGATTTAAAATAAAAGGAAATAAGATTTTTAATAATTATATAAAAACCTTAATTAACTAAGTCCTAAACTAGACTCCTAATCCTAAAAATTTTTTTCTCTCCCACGCTCATCTCTCTCTGTCTCTCTCATGTCTCTATCACTCTCACTCATGATTCTCTCTGCCAATTAACTTAAAAAAAACAGTAGGTAAACCAAAGTTCTTCACACTTGATGAACTCACCAAGAAAATATAAGAAAACAAAAGAAATCAATCACGTAGACAAAGAGAAGTTTGTCCGTCAAGTTGGTTTTGACTTTGAGGGGATTTGGACTGGATCTTGGATGAAGTTTTTGGGTAGCAAGTCGTGGGATTAACATAAAAAAGGTATGGGTTCTCTTCTCTCTTGGTCCCTTTGCCAAGAGACGCCTAAGGTTTAGACGAATCTATTTCGAAAACTAGGGTTGTTCCCCGTTGCATGTCCCTGTCACTAGCTCCCATTGAATCATAGGTTGGTTATGTTTGCTTGTATAAAACTAGGGATGAAACGTGTTTTCGTGATGATTATGTGTTTATATGTATGTTCGGAATTCTGTGACTTATGTTGATATTTTTCCAAAATTATGTGTACATGTATGCAATATGAATCGTATCTATGTGCCTCGGATTTTGTCTTTAAAAATGTGATGTTGTGGTTTATTTCATGTACAAATGATTATGTAATTCGTGATGTTCATATGAGTTGAAATGTGGCTGATTTGTGATAATCTCTTGGCTAAACGAATACATGAAAAATGCACCTAAGAATGTATTAAATGATCTACGAATTACCCATAATTGCTTATAAATGTTGAAGAAAGTAGGCTGCAAATGTGTTAAAATTTCCAGCATGTTGATGGTTTAATTTAGGCTAATGTTGAAGTTTAGAGAAGTTTGAAAATAATGTTTAAAATATGTGAGGTCATTTGGGATTGAACCCAAGACCTCACTATAAAAAAAACTTTGAATGAAAGAAAAAGAAATGTGAGGCGTGGGAATCGAACCCACGACCTCTAAGCAGTGAAGGAGAGAATTAAAAAAAATTAAAAAGGGGTTGTGTGGGTTCGAAACCACAAACCTTTGGCCAAAGGATAAAAATTAGATGTAATGAAAATAAAAAGTAAATGAGGTTGTGGGGGTTTGATCCCACGTCCTCTTAGTTCTATTAAGCAAAAAATGAGGGGAGAAATTAAGGAAAAAATAAAATGAAGGCATTGGGGCTCGAACTTGGGTCCCCAAGCCATATGGATCAAATAAATAAATGGAAAAAAATTTAAGAGTTTTCCAAGGGATTTGAAACCGGTTTCCCTCCCAAATTCCAAATTGATACATAAGTCATACGTGAATTAAATATTCAAGAATAATGCTGCCTACTTAGATCGAAATCGAGATCTTGGCATACATACAAGATGCATAAGTCTTGTACCACATAGTCTTAAGAAGATATGAATCACTTAAACGAACTATGAATGAAACATCATGGCTTGTATGTATAGACCTATAAGTCTAGCATATGTCTAAAAATAAGTGAACCTAAGATGTACGCGATGAAATAATGAAACCATAGAAGAATTAAGTAAGAGTGTGAAACACACTAAATGTACATTGGCATATGATGAAATGAACAATGAAATGATGAAATGAACAATGAAATGAACAAAGAAATGATGAAATGAACAATGAAATGATGAAACCGTAGAAGGGTTAAGTAAGAGTGTGAAACACCCTAAATGGCCAACTCAATGAAGTGATGAAATGAACAAATAAATGATGAAAAGGAACAATGAAATGATGAAACCTTATAAGGGTTATGTAAGAGTGTGAAACACATTAAATGGCCACGTGCATTGGCATATGATGAAATGAACATTCACATAAAACGGGGTAAGTAATTATGAAGAGACTAGGTGCTAATGTTAATGAATGAGGTGGCAACATGATATGAGACTAATGTAAAAGATGAGAGCAATCTCAAATGAGCCTAAGTAAATGTTACCAAAACGTACTCACCTATGAGAGTGTAAATGTTAATGAAGAGACCAGTCTCTATGAACACTCTAATTAAAGTATTGAGACTAACATAATTAATACTAATGATGAGATGAGAAATCATCTATTGATATATGATGTCCTCATACTAGAAGCCAACTTCCATTACGTATGAGTTGAATGTAATGGAACTTTATAGTGAGCACCGATAGACTAGATATGAGCAGTGATGCCTTCTTTCGGGAAGGGCGGAGGTTCACGTAATTCTCATGAGATGAGACTGTCCGGCATGCCGCATATGAATCTCCTTATATCCCCTAGTCTTCAAACCTATATTGCCAATATAGGGATCTGAAAAAGTTCAATTCCTATGTACTCTAGCATGTTTTGGGTCACATTGGTCGGTGAGTCCACCTCTTTTTGGTAGGGGTGATACTGGATTTCATGATGCTCACATGATCTATATTGGTTAAAGTTAAAGTTACAAATGAATAAATGAGGCCATTCTCAAATGATGCACATAATGAAATGAATGATACCAAAGGTGTTAGGATAGGATGATTAGGAGGTGAGCTAGACTTAAGTAATGACACTAGGTCATTCTTGATCATTGCAAAACAAACCCAATGAAAGTCTTAAACTACATTCTAGGTATAGCTGGTGTTTACACTAGCCTATGAAAGAAATGAAATGAAGTACGTATGAATGAATGAAGCAGACTTTGTGTTTGCTAAAGAAGGATCTGTACTTGAGGTACCATATGTTAATCCCTCATTTTGGGAAGTCTTGATGTCAAGTCCATGATTCCAAGGTCTCATGGCATATGAACGAAGGATATGAAAAATGTTATGTGCTATATGCAATATGTTATGTGCTATGTGTAAGATGTTATGTGCTGTGTGCAATATGATATGTATGATGATGCATTGTTACTCTCATGGCATGACTTTCCCAATCCAAATTTGGAAAACTCACTTACTTTCCTAATCCAAATATGGAGAGCTCACTAACTTTCCTAATCCCAATTTGGCAAGTCCACTGACTTGACTTTCCATAATCATGTTGTTAGGAAAGAGCTATTCTTACTCATGCATGTCCTTGGTGTGTGCTTTCATATAACCATACTTAGTACAAGTGTGTAGTAACCCTATACAACTCTACAATTTTAGGTGCAGACACAGGTGGATGCTTGAGCTACAGGTTGACGCTGAAACTATCTTGACATGGAGATTCATCTTGACTTGGTAGGCCCTCATGCTTTCGAGGATGCTTGCCCATTATATTCTAGCTTATTTATAGGATTGGGCTAGTGGAGTATGTTCCACTAGCATTCTTTCCGCTTTTGTTCAGACATTGTATTGGTGTCATTTTGGCAAGTATACATTTAATGCTATATTAAACTATTTCTTTCATTTGATGATCTTAATGTTAGATGGTTGATGGTGAACAATTATGAATCTAACAGAATGACTAGTATGTATTTTAAGAAACAAAATTTCTAAATTTTCCGCTAAAATTACCCTAGACGAAGTAAGAATGACGTAAGTAGGCTTTTCTTCGACCTCTGAGAGGTCAACAACACCGGTCTCGCCTGGGGTCTAGAATCCGATTGTGACATTCCTTATATTCTTAACAAATTAATATTTGAAAACTGTTGATCAAAACTCAAATTTTTTTCTCTTCTTATAAATTAATTTAAAGACAATATTTTATTTTGAAAACAAGCATGACATTCTACTCTAAACCTAAAATAAGGAAAACTTGGTGATACTGGAAAGAAAACTCGTGAATCTTTAATTTCATAGGTCATAGTCCACTTAACTCTTTATATGATGTCAGTACCCAAGCCTACACCACGGACGTGACACGACGTACAAGCATCTGAAGAAGCTCATACATGACTCATAATATTCATAACCTAAGACATAAGAAATGGTGCAGAATTAAAAGCTTTTTACAATTGAAGTATTTCCATAAATCCAAATGAAAGTATAGACATTGTATCAATATACCATATGATAAAATTGAATATCAATAAGGGTCACAAGCCTTTACAACATAGTCTTAAAAGAAAAGTTGATGGAACTAGAAATGAAAAACTTCCATCCTCGAACCATGAGGACTCACCAAAAGCATGGAGAGAATCAATCAAAGATTTACCCAAAAAAAGAAGTACAACTCAACGAATGGGACCTACACTTATAGGAAAATATAGAAAATATGGGTTAGTACAAAAATGCATTAAGTATGGTAGTCATGCATAAAAATCCTTAAAACATATTCAAAAGGGACATTTAGTTGAAACCATGCATTTTTATCAAGTTTAAACGTCATCATGTACATTTTTGAAGAAACATAATTTTGATCATCTCATAACAAACCCCAAGCTATACTTGTGCTCTGCATAGGTAAGATCTCATAATCCTGCCTTATGCTAAGTACCACTTATAGGCCACCCTAATCATTCATATTATACCTTGGACTCATCCATAGCCAATACTCATTGACAAGGAAACATTCATGTTCATAACTTGTAGCAAGTAAAGTCACCATTAGCAACAATAAATATCATACATGCGTAATTCATAGGTATTCATAGCACAAGAGAACTACATTACAACCACTTTTAAAGCCTACTTGTGCAATGCATTAACGGTCTCATACCCCAACTCATACTAAGTAAAATTGTTTAAGAATCCATAGTTGTAGTTCATGTTCATGTTCTTGTCATAATTCATATTCTTGTAATGTAGGGAAATAACCTTAACCGACATAGACCATGTGAGTTACATAGAATCCACAGTCATGCCCTCACACCGGAAAAAAGTGTCCTACTTGCCTAAGGTAGAAATCATGTTTAATAGCCTAGGTGGATCCACTAGCTATAACCAATGTGGGCACATAGTTCAAGAATAAGGAAGGTATTACTTGAAACCCGACCTAACATAAGGTGAGCTTCTACCTTACAATATTCAGTTGGTGCTAACCATTAAATTCCCACAAAGTAGTCCATTCTCTTTTAACATCATTACACATAAGAGGGAATCCATTGGCCTACCGACCCAAGGTACATTATTACACACATGAAAGGGTATCGTTAGCCTACTAATTCAAGGTAAATTATTAGGATATCTCATTAAATCCTAATGAAAAGGGTACCATTGGTCTATCAATTCAAGGTTCATTATTTGTTGCTCATGAAATTTACCTTAGGCCTACCGATTCAAGGATCATCATAACATCATGAAAGCAATTCCATTGACCTATCAATTCAAGATAAAACCTTAGATTACTTCATCAATCATTAAGTGAAGATCCTGTTAGTTATACAAGAAGAGGATGCCCTAAGCCTAGCTACCAATTCAAGGTATTTTAATCAAGATCACTTTAAATTACACATGAAGAGGATACCCTAATACTACCGATTCATGGTACAATATACATTGAGAAAACCCTTTTACAACACGTCATCTTCATTCACAAGTGTATAGTTGAGAATAACCTTTCAATAACACATAATTACATTATAGTCATGATATCATTACTTTCAATATCTCCACAAAGCGTGTACATAAGCATAATGATTATACAAAATCTCATAGTTTGTCCATAAAAGACCATAAATCATAATTCACCAACACACCTACAATTACTACAATTCAGTCATGGTAATAGTATGATTCAATTAATTCAATCAATATTAACAAAAACCATTTACATGGACTTTCAATCAATCACAACAAGATCATCACAGTCATAATTAATTCATGCATAATAATGTGTAAGTGTATAGGGGAGAATGATCTTTTAATCAACACCATAATTACACCAAAGTATTAGAATCTTTATTCTCATAATTTACCCTTCAAGAATCTTGAATCATATTCAACCCAACATCTAGAATTTCTACATTAGATATGGTTATAATATAATTCAATAAATTCATACAAGACCAATTTACATGTTTCTAAAATCAATTAATCCACATTAAGATCACAATTTAGCAATATAAGGGATCCATGGGTTCTTGGGATAATTTCACCATAATCCAACCATAGATAATAAATTTAGTCATAACCCAACATAATTCAAACCTTGAAACCATTTCTATAAATAACACAAGTCACTTGAATAACATCCTTAATTTGGGGAAATTTGTAAGTTTTAAAATCTATTTTTGAAGGGGATATATGGGTGGAATCTACCCAAAGATGTAAACTACCATACGTTGATGATGAATCCTTGAAGAGTTTGATGAAAAACCCTTGATTTCTTCAATCCCAAGCTTCTATTTCCCTCTTCTTCTTCTTCTTGGGTTTTTAGAGAGAGAAATATTGTGAGGAAGATAAACTTTTGATTTTGATTTGGGTGTTTAATGACTTAAAATACCTTATATATTTATTTGAAAATAATATATAAATCATACCTATTTAATTTGGACTTAAAAATAAAATTACAAAAATTACCCTTTCACCCCCCCGTGGACTCATGTGGACTGTGCCTTTGGCTTTTGAAGCTACGACATTTGTCCACTAGGTCTCTACACGAGCAATGGGCTTGTACACTTGCCATGGAACCAAGCGTGGATTAAAGCCCTTCGCCCAAAAACTAAGACATTCACCACAGGCAGTGAAGTACTTCACACCTCGTGGACCCTCCCTTGAACTCACTCTATGCCAAAAATGTCTAAGGCATTTATTCATGAGGGGCCTCTATGAAGAGTGGAGTCTTCCACGCTTGTTGAACCCTCAAGTGAACTTGCCTCCTTGCCTAAAAATGCCTAAGGCAAAGTTCATGAGATTTTGTAAGGACTATGAAGGATTTCACGTGCCTTGAAGCTTCCCTTGAATGATTCCTTATTCCCACATGCCAAAGGCAAAGTTCAAGGGTTCTTTTAAGAGCAGTGATGCCTTTCACCTTCCTTAAACACTCACTTGAACTAACACTTAGTCAAATTTTAGGGCTATTTTTCAACTCTAAAACATGCATCAAATTTTAAGACTCAAACATTAGGCTCTAGTTTTACCTATTAATTTCTGAGGCACTACATATGCCAAGAGATATGATCATATCATGTTGACCTAAGTAAAATCTTATCTTAAAATTTAATCGGTAAGAAAGCTTTCAACTCAACTTTGTGCTAGTGGTTTCTTGTGACTTCATTGGTAAAAAAACATTGAGGTATAGGTTTAGAAAGGGTGAGAAAGAACTTAAAATAACCTCTCTTAAAATTGGCAAAAGTAGTCTATGGAATACCATCTATGGTCCATACAAAAGTCTACAAACCATAGACCCTCTCGTACAAAACAGGTTCAGGATCTTTGATGTTGGGTTTTACGGATCCTTTATACAGCACAAATGAACTTTTAAGCGAGATCCTAATCAATCATAGAAAGCTTATTGGGTTGTTTCAAGACTTGGGTTCTGTGAGGCCTCTCTACGCATCATAAAAGGTTGTACAATCCGTAGTTTGGTTTGTGAAACTTGGACATGAGAACAATTTTTAGAGCATGGTTCTACAATTCCACCTATTGTAAAAATCTAGAAAATGTACTTGTCTAATGAAGAGTTTATTAGGTTTTAAGAATATGGATTGGGGTACCTAGGCATCCCAATTCCTAATATTGAATAATATTGGGCATGTTATAGAATATTGACTTAAGGGTGTTAGCCAATTTCTATGTATCAACAAGTAACTTAAGATATACTTTGATGTTCAAATGCTCCAATCCAAGCTTGTTTAAAAATTGTACCTTCAATAAAGACCCTAAGCTAAATTTTTTTATTTCATAGCTTACACACATTAGGTATGAGGCATCCAAGTGTCAAGCCTGGGTACTTAAGCACAGGATCATTTAAAGTGATCATGTAGATTAAGTAGTGCCCAAAGACATAGTGAGGATCCTTTGGACAAGAAGTGAAATTTCCAAGTGCAACTACAGAGTCCACGGTTAGGAAAGTGCACGGCAACACATGTGCAAGCACATGTTTAACTGACCAAGAGAACGAGTGACCAAGCCCAACCGATTCAGTTAGGGCGGTAGGGTCCGACATGCGTCGGGTCAAGCCACGTGAGACCGAGCTTCCTAACCAATCCTAGTCTCTAACTAACTTACCTAACTAGATAAATAACCTAGTACTGACTAAAATGAAGGAACTAGTGTGACCGAAATCCTAAGACCTAACTGGGTGACACTAGCCGAGTAACTAACTAAAGAAACATCCTAGTACCTAACCTAGGATGGTTCAAAGGGGTTGGTTATGGTCCTAGTGACTTAGGGGTACTTTAGTAATTACCCTAGGACACTTAATTAATTAAATCATAAACTTATTTAATTAATTTAAATTCATTTTCAAACTCGATACCCTTAGCAAATTTTCATAATTTGGCTAAGTCAAACGCTTTCCTATTTTTAGTCAATTTAAGAGGGGTGTTTTGGTAATTAGCTGATTGATTTATTTAATAAAATTATTTAGCCTAAGTTGAATTAGTCATTATTCAGTTCCTAAGACTTAGATTCACGTTTATCCAGTAGAAACTCACGCTGAAAAACAGTGAACAAATGTAAGAAAAAAATAGAAAAATACTCTCGGTTCTCCTTAGGCGATTTCAAGGCAATTCTTAAGATTTTCGTGCAAAGTAGAGGGTGATCTTCGTAGATTCAATTTTACATTAAAGTATGGGCTTATCTATTGGATTCTTTTCCCAGGAGGCTTTTCAAACGTTTTGAATTCAAGAAAACCGAAACTAGGGTTGTTCCCAATGAAATTGTCGAATGTTCATATCCCTTGTTCTCCATATTTCCGATTCTAGTAGTATATATAATGCAAATCTCGAGCATGTTGTTCATATGTGGTGATAACTGATCATTATGTGTAGGTTTCTGTGATTTGATAATGTCGAATGGGACTTATATGATAGATCTGTATGCTTAGAGTATCATCTACTTTGAATTGGCCAATGACGAAGTTATACCAATCTTATATGGACAATGTAAATCATGATGTTTCTTGTAAGGCCAAATGCATGTTAAACATTGACTTGACAAGATGTAACTCAATGAACTCATAACCTAGGGTATGCCAATGATTGGGACAAGCCCCAACATACCCTATCTAAATGAACTTGTGAGCATAGTAGCATATTGAATAAGTCCTTATAACTTTCATAAATAAAGGTACAAGACTACTAAATAACATTGAACAAGATAAGGTGAGTAGTAAAATAACTAAAAGCTTATGAGTTATGAAATTTACCGAGAATGGGATGTTAAAAGAACAAGTCTCACTCGAACATAGACAATTATTTTAAAGATACTCACATAAGATGGTGTTAGAAATCATGAGACAAGTCTCATTCACACCATGATGATAATGTAAGATTTAAGTTTTCATCAAGTATAGAAATGGATGACAAGTCATCTATTCAGGTAAGCCTACCTCATACTAGAAGAAAGCTTCCATAGTGTATGAGTCAACTCTAAAAGTTGTAAAGTATGATAAATTGAGTTAAGCACTGATAGACTAGTAATGAGCTTGTGAAAACTCATGTAAGCCTCATGATATGAGACTACCACCAAGCTAAATAAGGGTAAAAAATTCTCCAAGTCTTTGAACTATATCGCCAGCATAGGTTACTAGCTAGTGGATCCACCTAAAAAGCTAGGAAGTATTCGGTTTCACTTTGGCCAGTGAACCACCTCTTTTCAGTGTGGGAAAGACACTGGATTTCATGTTAGCTCACATGATATATGTCGGTTAAATGCTAAAGATTTATCTAAGAAAGTAAGAAAGAAATAAAGAAAGAACTAGGAAGATGAGGGGTGTTTAGATAGGATGACCAAAGGGTGAGGTTAGACTAAGTAATGATGTAAGTAATTCTTTGTCATTGCACATAAAGATCCCAAAAGGAGTCCTAAAAGTATATCCTAAGTCAACCTAGCATGTTCAAAGTGAACATGAGATCAAATAAGAAGAAATGTAGTTCAAAGTGAACTAAGTAATCAAAAGCATAAGTACATCAAATCATCAATGTTTGATAAGAATGAAGTTTTAACAGTTGTTGACTTATGTCAACAAAGGGAGCAAAACATAATGACTCATCGATTGGAGTATGAATATATGCCCCATCATCTTTATATTATGCAAATGATAAAATAATGGGCATAGCCAATAAAGATTGTATCATAAAGACTTCATGCCCAATTTAACAAGAATGGAAAGAATAACTTGTGAGTAGGGTAGTCAAATCATTTCCTTTAGTCTTTTGGATTACTTACTTGATTCATTGTATCAATGGGACTACAATAAATCATTTCACTCAATGTAAAACATAGGATCAAAGGAGATCATTGAACTACACAACAAAAAAAGAAAACACTGAAAAATAAACTAAGTCTGGAGAGGGAGCTCTTGGCCTAAGGGGAGCAAAAATATTAAATTTTGCTTGAGTTGTTCTAAAATTATGTTCATGATTACAAGGTCTTATGTTCATATAGAAAATGATTTGTGTGATTTAAATGAATGAAAATGTGTCATATTCATAGCATGCTTCATAAATAACGAATTAGGAAAGTGAAGTGACTTCACTTTCCAAAAATAACATGTTGCTATAGGAAGAGCTTTCCTTGATCATGCATAGTCCTCATGTGTTTATGTGCATACACCCATACTTAGTACAAGTGTATACTAACCCATATACAATTTCTATTTTTATAGGTGCAGCTCCTTGAAGAAGAATGAAGATTAGTTGAAGCTATTTGGACTAGTACCTCCAGACTTCGGTAGGTCCTCTTGAGTTCGAGGATACATACGATTTATTTTCTTGCTTTAGTAGATTATACATATATAGTGGATGTTGTCCCTAGTGTTTCCTTTCAAACATTTGTTCAAGATTTTGTATTAAGGTCGGTTTGGCAACTATTAATGACATTATGAATTCTTCATTTCCATTGTTCAATCTTTTAATAGATGGTTGTTTATTTTGAGATGTTAGTATATCACTCTTATGCAAGAATTATATGAAGTCTAATTACACTTCACTAAAGTTAAATTTTTTTATATTTTCTGCTAAATTAACTTTATGATTGTGATGAAATCTAAGAAGAGGCTTGTTTACGATTTTTGAAAGGTTAACGACGTCGGTCTCATCTAGGGTCTCATACTCGAGTGTGACAAACTTGGTATTAAAGTATGAGGTAAAATTACCTAGGAACTAAGGCTTAAAACAACCACCTTGCGTAATTTCTAGCTTATGGTTGTGAAGTGCACTACAAGCATGACTTAGAGACTTAGTGATGTTAAAAATCTTCCCTTTTTCTACTCTTTATCGTGCTGTGTAGAGCTTTGAC